GCACCTCTCAAGCATTCGCGAGAAAAATTTATTTAAAATTGTCCACATGCGTATGTACCGAGTCGCTCACATTACATAAAATACATACATACATATACATATGTATAGTAATTCTACATGAATTTATACAGGGTGAGTCACAACATTTGTGACAACGCTCGTGAGAAAGAAGGGATCGAGATGAACAGAAAAGTCCTGTACCATTTTAATGAGCTTGTCCGCACAGTCTATCTGTGGCCGCGGGCCGATTCGCGCTCGTCGCTTGTAACGTAAATCGAACCGCGGCCACAAAGTCTGTAGTTGCTTGTGTGTCGTATATACATGTCGTATATACCGAAGCTCGGTGAAAATTTTGTGAGCGACTCGGTACATACGCATGTGGACAATTTTAAATAAATTTTTCTCGCGAATGCTTGAGAGGTGCGTCGAATGGTTTTATCTATCATTAAGGGAGGTGTAGTATTACAACATATATCAAGCTCATTAAAATCGGAGAGGACAGATGTTGGTCCTCCCCTTGTGAGTATATCTAACTTAAATATAAGCAGACATGAATTCTGTCCCTAGCCAATCATACACAGCGTAAATGTGGGTTAGATATCGTTAGACAACACACAAATATGTTCGAAATATTTAAAAGATTTATTTCAATACTTTATCAATATTTATCAAAATATTTCATAGATATTTTTATAATCTTTATAAAACTATAAAAAACTATGTATATAATATTTATAAAGTATTAAAATAAATCTTGTAAATATTTCCAACATATTTGTATGTTATCAAACGATATCTAACTTACATTTACGCTGTATATGATTGGCTAGGGACAAAATTCATAACTGCTTATATCTGAGTTAGTTTTACTCATTGCCAGATATGATTAAATATACAGGGTGTCCCATTTTAACTTGGGCAATGAAATATCTCAAAAACTAAGCCCATCAAACTAAAATGTTTCAGACGTGAGTCTGAATCAACTATTCTAGGCCAAATTAAGGACACCATCTTATGTCCCTCTCGAAACCATACGACTTTTGTCTGAAACATTTTTCTTTGCTGGGCTTAAGTTTTTGAGATATTTTACTGTCCAAGTTAAAATGGGACACCCTGTATACATTTTTTCCCAGGTAGTTACATTTTTAGCGAAAAGACCGTAGCTGCAACTGAATACTTTTATAAAGTAACTTTCTCAATCCTAATTGAAATTAATATTGAATATTAATCAGCGGAACCGTGTGCGTTTTCGGAAAAAAAAGAAGAAGGCGAATTTTAGTCACTGATGGCAAAACTTTAAAATCTCACTGAGTGCGGGATTTAACAGAATTTCTTAAGAGTTCAAATGGGAGTCCCATTATTGCGTCGACGTAGCCTCAACTGGCCGGAAAATTTATCTCATTACCTCGATAATACGCGAGGGTAATGTCGCGGACTCAATATATATAATCAATTTTCTCATGGTTTGATCGCGTGCATGCCCTCGCGGCGACGCGTCCGTCACGCCTCAGGGCGGATTATCATCTCGCGATAATGACGATGGAAATTATGTCACGGATGTTACAGAAGAATGCACTCGCGAATGCTCGAAGAAATGATTTCTATTTCCACGGACTTGCGACGAGTGAATTTCTCCTCTACGGGCCGCCGTCGTGAGCGATGATGAAATTTGAAGCCATATAAATGCGATTCCGGTAGCGAGCTACCAGGCTTTTTCTCTATACTTGCACCTTCCGACGCGGAACATCCGGTACACGGGCATTCCGAGACTGTAAACGCAGAACATGGAAATCCCGCGAATCACTCGGGCTTGATAATGTAAACTTTTGAAATTGCGAGACAAGACAACTCGATCGGCTGTTCGTCGCTCAATTATCGCGCCTTGTTTCCCCCTTGATGTCTCGAGTTCACGTCTCACTCTCTCTTTCCGCGCGGCGCCAGAAGGAAAGTTTTCGCAGCCGCGACGATAGCGCGAAAGAAAAAGTGCCATAGAAAGCATCGCGGGTGCTCCACAAACGTTCCGTTAATGTATGCAAGGATGTCCCTCGTGACAATCGGAACTTGATCGACTTGGCAATTGACTTCGCGCCGGTTTAATCACGAAGCCTTACGAGGTACAAAACCAATTGCGCGTGCTGTAAAACGCACGATTCACCTGTCGCGGCGAATCTCTCGCCGAAATTTGCACGATTTAAATATTAACAATCGGCGCGATGCGCTTTTTGCCACGGCGCATCAAATGTGAAAGCCACACGCACGATGGCCCAACAAATATCGTATTTTCCACTCGGTATTCCGGTCGGAATAACGGCACAAGTTTCATATCGAAGACCCGTTTAATCCGCTACGAAATCGGCGCTCACACGGAAAACGAGCGTCTTTACCAATGCAGCGGTACTTATTGTCGCCAGTGACGAATAAAACTAAATCGCAAACTTATCGTCGACCAACCCGGCAAGAGATTAATTTATTAAGAAACAAGCTGCAACGTTTCGACCAAGTTACAGGTCCTTATCAAGTAGAATACACTTTTTTTAAATGACTCATTTCTTTCTATTACAATACACCGAGGAATCAAGAGCGAGCAACTTAACTGACTAACTTAATTGGTATTGATTAAATTAACGATTAATTCTGTTCAATCGAGACTATGTTTCGAAACAAAAATCGTTGTTACTTAAATTCTAATTACTAAAATTAGAGATTTTACCTCAATAGTTGGTGAAAACAAATGTAAGTATATTTCTAAATTGCAAATCTTCATTCACTACGAATCTAAAAGAGAAGTGAAGCACACCGTGTTTCGAGAAACCCGATAGGCATTGCGGAAAAGAGGCCGCAACTGTTCGATATTAACGACTTCGCGCTGTTAGAAAGAAAATGAAAAATTCTAAAATCTAGAATAAAATGATAGTATCGTCTTTTGTCGAATATCGTGGTGCCAACTTCGTGCGTTGTAAGATGGAGGGAAAATTTATTTTCTAATCGGAAGAACATATAAACTTATTGTACATGTTACTCTCGTCTCAATATAGTATAGTATAGTAGGTCAATCTTTTTTTTAATTCGATAAAGGAGAATAAGAAGAGCGTTATACTTAATTATGCATCAGCGAATATTCACTGTTTTCAGTGATATAACGCTCTGATTGAATTTTAGATAGCAGATGTCTCCGTAATCAAGTTCGGTACAGTCAATTTTTGTAAAAACACAACGCACGTCCGTGACAAGGTTCGCATGAAACAGCGTCTTAAAATTCTCCGAAAGCTTAAGCTTTTCCTGGAAAGATGAGTCAGAGGATGCATTGCCCTGAGGAGCAGGGTCACTGGACCCCTCGCTGTTCCTTTCCACGATTGCCTGACGAAGCCGGGCATGTTAAAATTGAGCGATGAGCGACACTAGGTCCGTTACAGACAACCGTTCTAAGGAAGGTACAATATGTTACGCATACGGGAAGGAAAATGTAGCTGCCGTGGTCAAAAACTGCAGGCAACTAAATTTCAGTTGTGAAATATGGACAGCTAATATTTAGTCGCGATAGCGAATTCGATGCTTGCACTAGTGCGCACTAAGGCCTGTTTATAGTCAATTTTTATATTTAACTTTGTCTTAAATACAAGTTCAAAGAGTGTTTAGTCAAAAAATGGTCCGTATGGATGCTATACAGATCATTTTATCAGTTCTTTTGACACCGTAGGTTCCTTTTCACCGGCATATGAGAATCGTCGATCCCGAACCCGGAGGTAAATGTATTATCTATAAAAATCTGAGTGCTATTTTCAACATGTCATTACACGATGTTGTATGCCGAATTCTCACTGTTTTAAAATTACGAAGAAACAAAGTCAAAGTTTTATGTCCTTCGTTTCTCGAACAGCGTGAGCGATTCACGACAGCTCGACGAAGACACACGAGCCGCCTTTGTTATTCACAGTCGGCTCGTGAGACCACGTGGAGAGGCATAGGCGCGCCCTTTCGTAGATTCTCTAGTTTGTACAGCATTACCGTTATAGGCAAAGGGCATTGCACGTTTCCTCGAAAGCGAAGTTACGTAAGAAGAGGCGAGGATACGATGCGTGAAAGAAGGAACCGTAATCCCAACCTGAAATTATCCGAGCGAACGACGCGATCGTTTAGCGTGTCGTCAATCAAATTTACGAAATTCCAAATTTTGTAAGTCTTATAATCGCTAGACATATCAATATTAAGATTTTATTTTATTATACCCGAGTCGAGATTTTTGTGCTATTTTGACACCTTTAAGGATAATTTACACCCACTTATAGCTGATCTATACACCTAGCCCAGCAATAACCTACTTTGATGACATTATATTTTTTTACTCCTTCCTTGAATCTTTAATTCTAAAAATTTACTTTAGCCCCTACTTAAAAGGACCTACTTTAATGCTAAATTGGCAAAAGCAGAAATTTCCGGCACTATCAGTTTTAAAGTAGGAGTAAATTTTGTACTTGCAGTTCTTTTATTGTCTTAGGTCCTACTATACAGGGTGGGCCACTTTAATCCGTACACAATAATATCTCCTCAGGTAGAGGTGATAGCGGAAAATGCCTCAGACAAAAGTTGTAGGGTTTCGAGGAGGACATAAGATGGTGTCATTACTTTAACCTTGTCTGAAACATTTCTTGATTTGCCTATTACTTTTTGAGGTATTCAAGAGAAAATTTATAACTTTTTCAATGTTTAGCTCATGATATCTCGATAACTGTTTGTCGGGGGGGGGGTGGGGGGAAATAGTACAGGACTTTTTTACTTGATTTAGTCTCAGAAATATGCTGCTGCAATAGTGCTCCAATTGGACCAAGCTCTAGCATCGTGGACACAGGGACGGATTCCATCCCGCGCGTCACACGAGGGTTTACTACGTTGTTTACTGGAAAAAAAAAAATGCGGAAAGTCCTTACACGTCTCGACAGAATGAGCCCGGTTTGGTGCGGTCTCGTAATTTCTCAAGGCCGCAGTTTAAGATAATGACGTAACGACGACAGTTTCGTGAGAAACGTGGCAATGATCCGCTCGCGCCCGCCTCTTCGTATCGGGGCTGAATGAATGCCAGAGACGGTTATGCGTTTCCCGTTACCGGGTTCGGCTCCGGGTACGAGATGCCGAATTATGCAACAGTTCATAAAGAAACCCACGCGCCGTTGCGCGGGCCGTGACGATCGCCGGCTGATCGGCGTTTCGGGAGGTCCGACGAAAGTCTAACAGAGACGCAACGCTGGAAGTGTCGCAATGGCGATTTTTGGGAAAACCTTGGAGAGGCTCAGCGGCAGAGCAATCGCGATCATTGCGAAAAAAAAAAAAAAGAGAGAGAGATAAATTCGTCGAAACCGGTTTCGTTGCCGCGGGTATTCGCGATTTTCTCGACGATTTCCCTGAAACGTTCATCGGATTTAAAGTCATTGCAGTTCGAGCGACGTAGATCAGGACACTCTCTATGCAACTGCGTGGACGACGCTCGTCGAGGAGTCCCGTTCGACAAATGGAATCGAATCGTTGATGATCTCACTGGATCTACGTTTCAGGCTACATCTCGAAATCCCACGCGCGGAATATTGATTTGTCTCCTCCCTCGCAGCTGCACGCGCAGAGAAGCGAGGGGCGCGAATGCACACGTTTGCACTCACATCCGGATTTGATACCGTAAGAGGATATGAGAAAGCCCAGTAGTGCGGGATCGTCGTGAATATGACTCTCTGCCTCCCTCCAAAAAACACAAACGCGTATCGCACGGTTGACCCGAGAGCGGGCGGACGTGAATGAAAATTTCCGTGGGACAAAAGGCGCAAAGTGCCATTGCGTTACGTCAATTCATGGGATTTTTACGGATGACGAATTAGAGCTCGCTCGCGGATAATCGTGCGTAGATCACGCCCGATCCGGGTGCCAGGCGTGGAACCGCGAAAGGCGTGCGACAAGGAAGGAGGAGAGAGCCTTTATCATCGCGGAAGGTACGCCAGGACGGTTTTCCCTCCCGGACGCGGATTACGCACTGGGGCTGGAATGGAGGAGGATGTCCATCGCGCTTCGGCGGATTCGGTCCCCCGGCACGGTCGTGTTAGGTAACAGCCTAGAGCCGTGGAGCCGGGACGTGCGCGGGCCAGTCTCGCCGAGCTTTCCGCGGCGATAAGACCGATGCACGGCCACGACGCGAAACCTGACGCGAGCCTCTGATATGAGGGATGGACCGAGTGGTGAACTGAGAGGACGGATAATTCGCGAGATACAGTGACAGCGGATCGTCGCTGACGAGCAGCAACGCCATGGAGACGTCGATGATAAGGTGAGCGAGATTTTCGTATCAACGAGACTAGTTCGGCGAAGGTGTATTGTGCTTGCAACCAGGATTGGGCGTTTGCGCGTGAAATGTAATAATTTACAGCTACAATGTAAATTACGTTTCGAGTCGTGCGAACAACGAGTAATCTGTGGAACGTTTATATTTCATCAGAAATATCGGCAATTTTATGCCTCGTTTGCAATTATTGTTTTTAGAATGGGTGCGATTTTTTAGGGAAATTAACGATGGTTCTGAAGATCTCGATTAGTTCATATTTTATGAAAAACATGAACAATTGTATTATCGTACGCATACCGCGAACTGACGATAAGTAATATTGCTTTTTATCGTTTAACAACTCAATATAAGTAATATTGTTTCTATATTAGCACCACTGTAGTTTATTAATAAGTTATAATTGATCTAATCTGGTGTAAAACTACAAGGAGAGAATTTTCCTTTAAAAGTTATCCTGAAAGTTATATAATCGTGGGACAACGCGGCATTTCGAAGAATTTTATGAGAGGGTGTTGGAATTTTACCATGCATTTCACTAGTAATTGCTCTTAGATATACATTTACTAGTATATAAAATGTATGGTGAAACTTAAAAAACTCATAAAGTTCTTTAAAATGCCATATTATCTCACGATCGCATAATTTTCAGGATAAATTTGAGGGAAACTTCTCTCCGTGTACCTTTCCATTTCTGTAGGACCGTTCGTAAAAGTACAGTTTAAAAACAAACACTTAGTTCTTTCACTTTGCCGGTCTCATTCCAACTACCTTCGACTCTGTTTAGATACTTCAATCTCGTGTTAATTGAAAGTTTACATTTATATTATATTTTTTATCTCTTATTGTTAGTTCGCAGTTCGATAAGGACCACAAACCATGGTCGAAACGTTGCGAGCTGCGTACAATAAACGCCAGATACGGTCAAAGAAACACCGAAGTTGTAAAAAGGAAACAATTATTTAATTTATAATAATTTGCATTGTATTGTCCACACGACAATCACCAAGGAATAGTGACATTCGTCATATCGTACAAACAATACATAAGCAATTGTAATCGCGAAATTTGCCGCACAACCCTGTTTACAACAAATGGCTTACGTCCAGTCCGATCGAATAGCAAGCGGCGATCGCATAGATCTTCGAAAGGTTAAACGAATCGATAGAAATCCTTTCACTGTATCAGAGCTGCGATCGTCGGATGCGAGAGGACGACTCAACGACGTGACGAGCCCCGCGGTCTTCTAATAACAATTAAGGAAATTGTGCGCGAACGGCTCCCACATTCGCCGGCTGAAAATTCACGTCACGTGCCGAAGCCCCGAGGGAAATTAAACGAATAATACTTTCTTTGCGTTTGCCTCGTCGAACAAAAAAAACCGAAGAAAAGAGTATCGCGCGGGCGATCGACGTTACGTGATCGCGTTGTTTGTATTGCGTGATCTCTGCGCGGCGCAGATCGATTATAACGTATCAGCGGACACTTTCTTTTCAGCGGGAAACGTAAATCCGCGCTTCCGAGGCGCGAGCACGCGTGATTATATAAGCGCGATTCTAATGATAATCAAAGCAATTCGAAACATCCTAGAATTCCGTGAGGCGAGTCGCGAACGCGCGGGCGGCCCACGTGCGTGTGCGTGTACGCGCGTGTAAGACGAGTGACTCGGGTAATAACTGGTTATTACAACTTAACGACACGGAAGGCGGAGAAAGTGCATCTGGCGAAGAAAGTAAAATCATGACGAATGAATAATATATAATAAACGCGTCACAAAAGTGTCGCGGGCCTGGGAGACTGCTATAATTTGCTTCGCTGTTACAATCTTATTAAAGACGCGGGATTATACGTTAAAAGCTACGTATAAGTAACCGTAACGTCTTCTGGAATCAAGTTTGTATTTCCATTAGTTTGTATTTCAATTAGTGCACTTATGTTACACGAGTCGAGATTATTTTACACGATGCGGAACATATATTGTTTAAGGAGGCGGATGTATTTGAAAAAAAAATACAATCAATTTAAAAGGATTTCTTTTCCAAGAAAGTATATTGTTCTCTGCTAACTTTAAGCTATATAAAATGATTTTTTAATACGCCCGATTGTATAGAAAAGAAGAGATTGAACGTACGTCTTCTCGCGGTTTGAATGAATCGACTATCCGCGGTCAGAAGCGGATAATCAGGAAATAACTTAAAATGTTTTAAATTCTCACTTGATTTGTCATTCCCATTTGGCACCGTCTACTGTGTAGCTTGAATTGGAAATAGACGAAGAAAATGAGAATGAATTATTGCGTAGAACATGTGGCTGCAGCATGGAAATCTAGAAAAACCCTTCCTTTCTCTACGAAGCAATTCGACCTTTGATGTCTTAAGAGACACATGTGGATATGAAAATACGAAAATTGAGTTACCACATCAGCCTCATTGAACAAGCGGCGTGCAGCGATAAACGCAAGGCAAGTGAAATATCGTAAAGAATTATTTGACGCCAGTACATGATTTTAACCAATGTAGAAAAATTGCTAAACGACGCTAACTGGCAAATTCTAATTAAAGAAATTTATTGCGAAAAATATTACCTCAGCCAGGGTTTGAACCTGGACTTCCCTACACTCTAGACGGGCGTCTCACCAATTTGACCACTGATTGTGAGGCATATTTTTTGATAAATGGAGTACCATATATTCTATAGTAATAAATAGGGGTGTAGGCACTGAAATGCGCCACTTATTAATTTTTCTCCCAAAAAAATAACGGGCTAGGACTAAACCAGGACTCGAACCTGCGCATATGGGACCTTCCGCTTGCCGGGAGAATTCTTCCAGCTATCCAGGCCCACGAAAGAACTAACTTCCCTCGAGTCATAATTAAAATTCACAAAGAGAAATTCACATCAAAGTAGATCGAAACGTAGATAATCACGAAAGAGAATAAAAAAATCATTTATTGATCTAACGATGAGAAAAGGAACCTAGAGATAAGTGTTATTGCCCCGTAATTTCGCAGTGCGCCTTAAAATAAGAATTTCTCACGGAAGTATTATAGAATTCCTCTTATTATCGTGGTATTATCACTGCAGACACGCATACGCAATGCACGATGAAACTTCGTTAACCGCCGTAATAAAAAAAGATGTAATGTAGTTATGCAACACGTTGCATAAATTATTGGCATACCTAAAGGGAATGCCGTCGGGGCAGGCGGCAGTAAGGACACATCGAATAACAGGAATTCACGATGGTGGCGGCTTTCGATCGAGGACGAGACTCGTGAATCTCAGGCATGCCTTCCGTCCTCTCGTCGAGAGCTTGTCGGAGAAGAATCATACTGGACAATCAGGCTTGGGAAAGTTACTTTATAAAAGTATCTAGTTACAGTTTTTTTTTTCGCTAAAAATGTAACTACAATAGTTACAGTTACAAGTTACCAATTTTGTAAAGTAACGCGTTACAGTTACTCGAAAAGTAACGAATCGTTACTTCGCAGTTACCTTCTTGCCATGAAAATAAAAGTATCAAATCTGCATTTTAAGTGTAAAGCACCGAGAAAGGCGTTTATGCGCAAATGAAAGGCCTGATGCGATCTGTGGAAGTTTAAAGTATATGTATATAAAGTAACTATTAATGTAACTGACAAGACACTCATCAAAATCGGTGTATCTCCACTTGGGTAGATTTATTTGTGAGTTAAGTAAGTTAAGTTACAGTTACAGGTGGAGAGAAAGTAACGAAGTTAAGTTAAAGTTTCAAAAAAAAGTAACTGTAACTGTAACTTCGTTACAAGCAACGAGCTACTTCCCAACTTGCCGTATGTCTCTAGAACACCCGTGCATGTACACTTGACTGGAGAAGTCTCCACTCGGTTGGGTCACAAATCATCTCCTTAGGTATGGAGAGGACAATACCGCAAATTGTTTACAGAGGCGCGCGCGTTCAGAATGCGATCGGCATTCTGTGTTGAACGAGGGGGGACTTGAATAAGTTCTCGCTGTTTCCCGACAAATGTTACCTCAGCCCTTCTGCATCGGGCAATACTGCAGCCAACTTCATCGTGAAGCTCCACCATTAGGCTCGAAATGACAGTATAAGGGCCAGTTTCACAAACGTCGGTTAACTGCTAACCGAAGGTTAATTGATCCGCTGTCTCTTCTTAAATAATAAGATGAAAAAAGATAGGGAGTCGACTGAACCCTAGTTAACAGTTAACCGATGTTTGTGAAACTGGCCCTAAGTCATTCCGCCGAAGTGCAAGCAACATAGTTTTTCATAGAGTTAAACATGTCGAATTCTGTGCCAAAGAGAGAGTATTTGCGGGGAATTTTACTGCACTACTTTTTTTCAAAAAAATCTGCAGCTGAAGCACATAGAATTCTTGTGGAGACTTGTACGGCGACCATGCTCTGTCGGAAACAACATGCAGAGATTGTTTTAGACGCTTCAAAAATAATGATTTTGATGTTGAAGATAAAGAACGCTCTGGCGCGCCGGAAAAGTTTGAAGACGAAGAATTGGGGGCATTACTCGATGAAGACCCATGTCAGACGCAAGCTAAACTTGCAGAATCATTAGGAATTGACCACACAACGGTTTCCAAACGTTTAAAAGCATTAGGAATGATTCAAAAGCAAGGAAATTGGAAATAATATTTACGTTTGGGAAATTACAAGAAAACAAAGGCTCGACTTTCCTGCCGACTCGTCGGGCCTGCAAAGCAATCTCGATCTCGCACACTCCGGTATCTCATTCGATCATTATCGTTGAGATCATTGAGGGTACTCTTGATTTCAGCCAGGCATGTACATCTTAATCCCGGCATCCTGTGCCTGTTCGGGGTGTCCCTCGGCGGAAACGAGTTTTCTCCACTCTCGAGGAAAAAGACATCGGCTGTACGCGCTTATCGCGCGAATTAGATAAAATGCTTTTTCGCCGTCTCGTCTCTTTGCGCTTATTACGGAGAGCGAAATCCTGCAAGCGAGAAAGTTCTGACGTAACTCTCGCTCCCGCTGGATGATCGCTAATTAGACGATTGTGTAACGGACCGCGTTCGCACCTGCGGGCATCGATCAAGAGTGAATCTCACGGCGACGCGCGAGCGTAACGCGCGGATAACGATCTCGCCTCCCCCATTTGTTCACGCTCGATTGTTAAAGCGATTCAGCGGCGTTAATTAGAGATAGAAGAGGGAAATACCTCTCTTTCCTGCGCGACGCTCGCTCGCGTATTTGCGAGAACGCGGGTAATACCAGGACGCCGAAGCTTCGACATCGCAAAAAGCTGACACGCGCAAAAATTGTGCAAATCGCGATCGTGAAAGTTGATGATACGTCGCGCCGCGGATCGCGATTATCTCGACAGGTGCAAGGATGATTTCGGCATACGCCGCGTTAATTGAAGCGACAACCGTGCGAGATAAATTCTAAGTGCCGCGTTAAAAGGTGATTAATAAAACGCACCGCGGAGAATAAGAACGCTCGGCCGCCGTGGAAAGTCGCGGAAGAAAGCTCGATCAGCACTGAAACGTTGACAAGACCTCATGCTGTTTAATTACTTCCTCGACTTTTGAAGAAAAGAAAAGACACGAGACGCCGTGCGTTTCTTCCCGAGTCAACGGTGCGTGTAATACACCGTTAAATTTACCGTGTAAACAAGTCAGTTATACAACAATAACAGAGGCCCCGCGTTGATTTAAATAAATTTGATTAAAGGTGGAATAGGCTGCGGTTCGGAGCAGGCAGGGATTTACCGGAGGCTCAAACCGCAAGATACTCGCGTAATCCTCCCGCGGTCAACGCGACCGGAGGCAAGAAAGAGAGAGAAAAAAGAGAAAAGACCTTTTGCTTTTCGCGACGCGGCAAGCATTTGTACGCGGCAAACATTATTCTCATTCCGCACACATGTTCGCCATCCCGAGCCCTGTGCCGCCAGGGACAATGCCATTGCCATAGTGAAACAGTGAAAGTATGGTCATTTCGCCCTCGCTTGTCGCGCGCACATGTGTGCCCCTTCTTCCGCGCGCACGCACAGGACGACACGCGCATCGACGTCTCGCGCTGTCGCGATACTCCCATTTCGAATGGCCACATTCCGCTGAACGCGCTCTCCACCTGCGACGCGGCGCGCGCTCGGTGAAACTGCCTTTTGCATTCGACTGATCGCCGATGAAGATGATAGGTAACACCTTCCGTCCTCTCCGCCGTCCTATTTGTGTCCAATTTCAATCAATCGTGTCACTCTTGTCCCTTGCGGCGGAATCCCTCGCGAGCCCGCGGCTGTTACGATCCGTGAGTGATGTAACTGCGGTGATTTTCAGCGCGATGCGGATCCTCTTAGGGAGCATCATCTGCCTTCTGTCGGCGGTCAACGCGAGGACCGCGATAATGCCGCCGCCGTGGGCCGACCCCTCGAGCAACCCCTGCGCCGCGCAGCCACGCGGTTGGCAGCTGCTGTACTGGCCGGCTGACGGCAAGTGCTACAAAATATTCCAGGTAGGTGCCAATCTTCTTCTCCCGGTCAAGAATTGTATGTCCCTCGCGCGCCTAGTTGACCTACGACACAGCAGTTGCTTTAAAAGATTCGCTCGAGGGAATCATTCGCCTCTGATAGTTCGCGTTTACGGCAGATCGGCGCCCCGTGTCCGGAGACCATGGAGCTGGGCCCGGCGGCCGGTAACGGGACAATCGCGGAATGCAGATGTCCCCCGGGAACCGCACAATCGCCCAGGGACGCTTTGTGCCATCCGATATTCACGAGGGCGTCCTGCTCCAAAGGCCAATTCTTCGCACCCGTGCCCGACACGTCCGACAAACCTGGGTAAATACTCTTCTTCTTCTTCTTCTTTTAATTACGTTCGCGAATGCCCGTGTGCTCACGAGAGATCTGTTCAGCGCGAAGCCACGATGGGGAGTCTGTCGCGATCCCGAGAGCTGCAACGAGCAGGGCGAGATCTACTGGCCCAGGGACGGCAAGTGCTATGCGAGGCTCAGTAGAGGCCCGTGTCCGCGCGGCGAGCTCCTCGTCGCAGGCGAGGACGGACTGGCGACCTGTTCGTGTTCGACGAGCGGCGAATTGAGCAGGTACCATTGGCTGGGAAACGGTCGCGGTTGCCACGAGCACTACACCAAGGGTCCCTGCTCGGAGCCGGGAGAACTGTTTCTGCCGGGTGGAACGTGCGGCTGCCATCCTCAATTGCCTCACTACCACGAACCGAGCGGGATGTGCTATCAGTTGGGTAAGATATGTATATATCGTGCGACACAGCCTGGATTTAAGATAAAGATGGGGTAAAATTCGATGTAACAACGGTGAAAAAACGGTTTTGTTGAGGCGTATAAAAATTACGCCGGATACAGATCTAAAAACAATTACGTAGGACCATCAAGGATGACGCTGCAAAGGATTTTGATATTCTAGCAGCCAGCCTGAGAGCGTTCAATATAATTATTTTCAGTGTCTAGCCTAATCTTTATACCTCAGCGAAACAGTTTTTCACAATTATTTCACAATACAGGTTTGTAATTAATATTAATTGAAGAATTTTTTTAATAAAGGTAGAGATTCCGCTGTTCCTTCTCACTATTACGCACACTTGTGATTCGCGTGTGCCGATTTATTTCTTCAATTTAACTGTCGAGTCTTAAAATTTCCCTCCTTAATTTCTGAACTCGTAATATTATGAATTATCAGGCGGCGTCGGCCCGTGTCCGCAAGGACACCACTTCGTGGTGACAATGGACGCTCGTGCGTCGCAGGAGGATGTCACGCGAGCCAGATGCGTTTGCAAGTCGGGCCACGTGTTGTACAAGGACGGATTCTGCTATCGACTGCACACGAGGGGACCCTGCGAGAGCGGCTACATGCTGATAAACTCGTCGACCTGCATCCCCGTGCCATGCAAACGCGGTAGGCTGTACTTTCCTCAGGAGAAGACCTGCTACAAGATCGGTACACCGGGACCGTGCCCGAACGGGCAGTTGGTGCTGTACGATTACAACGTGAGACCGTCCCTCGACGGGATCAGTTACAACGGCGTGTGTGGATGTACCAGCAACATGAGGGACGTCGGCAAGTGCCTGAAGAGCGAGAGCGAAGACTGCGAGAGCACGCCAGGCATGGTGAGGATCAACAAGATCTGTTACAAGTTGTACACGCAGGGCCCGTGTACCGCGGGAGAATGGTTGGTCGCACAGAGAACACCGAGAAATCGGTTATGGCGACTGGGAGAATCGCGACCGAAAGCCAGGTGCGAGTGCCGACCTGGTTACAAGAGGGTCCAGAGCTCCGGTGAAGCTCTCGAAGAGCTGGACAGCAGTAATCTGATCTCGCCGAACAATTGCCAGCCACCCACGGTGAGCCTGGCGAAGTTTCTCAACGATAATGTCAAATCAGTGATCTGAATGGCTCGATAGTTCAATAGATCGCTGCGCGGCATTTGTAATTTATAAGATTCGTCGGATTACATTAACGTTTTATTTTATCTAGCAAAGAAAGTGCATCGTTCAACACATCAAACTTTCCAGTTGAAAGAAAGTTGGATAATGATTTGTACATAAGGTTGTACGAATTAGTTTTTAACTTTATCTTACATGTTTAAGTGAAGCTTTATTTATTGTGTTCTTAATATAGGATAAGTAATATCTTGAGTAATTGTAAATATCGTTTGTGTGACTTAAGGCCTGTGTTCACGATACTAGAAATTGAACCAAATTCTAGCATCGTGGACACAGGCCTTTATAAAGTCTAGAATTTCTTATGAGAGACATGTGCCAATTTTTTTAAGAAGCTTAAAAGTTGTAAATAAACGTCAGATGTACTTACTCATTTTTATGCTGTAAATCGCGGATTTGTTGTTGCACTCCCTCCGTCTGTTGATCCTTATGCACCAATTCTCGTTCCAACGTGGCGATCTTCTCCGTCTTTTCGTCCAATGCCATCTGCAAAAATAATAGAACATCATCAATTTTATAAATTATCATGATTAAGGATCATTTCCTTCGCCAGTAATTAAATAACAAACAATTAATATTGTTCGACACTACTGGTTATAATTCAATCAGAAGAAATTTATTGAGAAAATAATATGAATTTCGCAATATTAAATTATAGCCAGTAGTATTGAATATTATTTGTCTATAAATTATAATTATAGAAACATTTAAAATACAAGCTACAATATTCCGTTTACCAATAGCCGATCTTTCTCTTGGTCCAAGACCGTCATACTCGAGCGCAATGTATTTATTTCTTGCTTCAGCTCCTTGATTTGATCGTTCAACTGCACCTGTTGCTGCTCCCTACTCCTGTTGCGATCCATAGCCTTGTTCAATTCCGATTCTGTCTGCGACAATTGGACCTGCGCGTCTCCAAGCGCTTGATCCGTTTGATCTTGCAACGTACTGCAATGGAAAGAGAGATCAAAATTACACACGCAATCTCTACAAATACAATCGGATATATTACCGTAATTGAAAATATTGCGTCCGTTGCGCCATTAATTCCTGCTTCGTACGGCGCAGTTCTTCTTGCACGTCGCCTAACTGATCCTCGAGACCGTTTATCGCCGATCTTCTCGTGCCCTGAGTAACCAACAGATCTTGCCGTTCTTTCTCTATGTGTTTCAAGCGATTCTCCGCCTCGGCTAAACTTTCCTTCAGACGAAGTTGGTCGCACACGTGAGTATCCGACATCATCTATACCCCGACACCATCCAGCCATTCGTTTATAACATATTGCCATATCCACACCGCGTTAGCAAGAATTTATACAGGTCAGTATTAATTATACTAATCACTCACAGTTACCGAACGTATATAATTAATGAAATAGTGTGAACGTTAAGCTCGTATTATTAATTTAGTATACTAAAAGGGAACCAACGAAAAATAGGATAATGTAAAGTTAATTTAACTTATACGATTTTCACTACCGTAAGTCTCTCCCGTAATGCATCGCGTTCCTCTATCAGTCGCTCAACATCCGCTCTGGCCGTATCCCGCTCTCGTTCCAGCCGTTCGAGCATTGTCTGCGTAAATTGAAATTGAAATAAGAATAAAACGTACACGTTTCACTTTCAAAAGGTAGCCTTCACAAGTACCTTCGTTGTGCTGATGTCTCCAGTAGATATCGGCGAGCCAGAAGCACAGGTACAAATACGAACGGGCTTACACAAACTGCACGATCTGCACGGAATACACTTGTGTCTCTGTTGACTCTTGTAAGTATGCAATCGCGCTTCTAGATCCTCCTTTTCGCGACGCAGTTCTTCCTTCTCCCGATGCGCTTGGCTTAAAGCTTGTTCCTTATCACTTAATTCACGTTTCAGCTCACAAATTCGTGTCCACAGGTCAGCCTACAATTTGTTACACAAGCTATAAAATTATAATTCTTTGTACGCGCATTTTTTTTTCAAATTTAATATTTACGTTATCTTTGTCAGACGATCTGCGTTGTTCACCCCGACAGTTAATATATTCCTTTCTATAGTGGTCTCGGTCCAGTTCCAATCGCTGAATTGTCTGTTGCAGCTGCAAAACAAATATGTTTTGTCAACCAATTTTTTTAAATCTAATTTTGCGAGAAATATTTAAATCAACTTTCTCGACTTACAGACGCAATTTGCAAATCTGCTTCTTCAATCCGTTTTTGCATATCAAAGTTACTGGTATCTTTTATAATTTCCTCATCTCCAGCCGCTGTCTGACCAGCCACGTTATATTTCTCACCTTTGTTATTTTTAAACGCTGAAAAGGATAAAGGAATTTTCAGTAAATTGCTTTCGTCCAACAATAACGATTTCTTAAAAATAAAAGCTCGATCAAAATTTATATTCAACATCTTCCTGGGCTGCACACTTAAAAATCGGTTTACTATTAATACCATTTCTTTTTTTCGACATTTTCGTCCCTTTATTCTGATCATTCTTTTCACCCTTTTCCTTTGCTCGCGTCTGACCGTTCCCTTTGTTATTTTGCCCGATATTCTTTTTATGTATACGTTCTTCTAAAATCTTATTAGTAAATTGCAACTCATCAATATCTTGTCTCTGGCAGTCGTTTTCTTTAGTCACTCTTTCCAATTTATCATTTAAACTTTTTTCTGCAATATTATTTCAAACGTTCACCTTCTCTCTCGATAGCCCAGGTTGTAAAAAGAAAAGACATTGAAGATAAACAACTTTTTAACGTACCAATGACTGTTAATTGATTGATCCTATCAGACATCTGTTTCTTTTCGTCCAACGTAGATTCCAGAGTCCGTTGAACATTACGTTTTTCGAGCCTGCACGCTTCTAGATCTGCTCTCAACTCTTGTACCTCTCGACGTTCTACAGTTAACTCGCGCTCCAAGACATGCACTTGCATCATGACGTCCTCCAACTTCTCCTGCACAAGCATAAGAGTGCGAAAATGAAGAACCTGTCTGAAAATTATACATTAATGCGATCGTCGTAGTTACCTGGAGCCTACAAACTCTCCTGTTATTCTCTTTAACTGCGGAATTGCAGTCTGCTTCTACAGCTAATGCAACGTGATCTATATCTCTTAATTCTTTCTCTAGCTCCTCATTCCGCGCTGCCAGTTTCATTGCCTGAGACATAGCATCATGTTGTTTATTTAGAGATTCTGCATCATTCAAGAAAAATGGAGTACGTGAATCAGACGTTTTCGTACGAAATGATTATGTTAAAAAAAATCTCTCTACTCTACTGAATTCCTTGCCTTTCACCTGCTGCTCCAGCTCTAATTTCGCCTGCTGGAGTATCCTCACTTCGCCAATCTCCGCATCGTGGGCGCCAGCTTTCTTTTCCATCTTCCTGCAGGCGCAGTCCTTGCTAACTGGAACGTAAGAATGGCCATCTTCCAGCATTTTTCTCAGTCGAATTATTTCTTTTTCCTTCGTGACCAGCTATATAAAAGATCGTTCATATTACATCGATGTTCTAATGAGACCGACACGTGCTTAGTCTTTTTAAACACGTCGTTACCACGCGTCAATAATTCTTAGCATGCAGAAAGGCAGATTAACAAGCACAATATTTCTGTTCCCTCTCGGAGAACGTTCAAGACACGCATGCACAAGTATTGATGCTTAGTATACCTGTTTCTCAAGGGTCTCTATGGTATCTGTTTGCAATAAAAGCTCCCCTCGCAATTTCGTTACCTCCTGACTCAGACAATTCATCTTGTGGTCTGCCATGCTTATTATATCTACTATCTTAGGCTCGGCGCTACTTAATTTCGGCAGTGAGCCGCTGCCCCTTGCCCTTGGCATCGGCTCGGCCTCCAAGACCGGTCGTCGAAGAGGAAAACAGGGGCGTTTCTTAGCAGCTGTAAAAAAAGAGAAAAGTTAAAGTCTGATAATAACGTCGGACGCCCTGTCGACAGTCGCAGCGGAACAACAACCTACCAAGGCCAACATTAATGACAGTCGGCTTTAGGCACTTGCCCTGAAGCTCCAATATCTTCTTGGACTTGGCGGCCGACTCCGCCTCCAGCTCCTTTATCTTGTGTATGTTACGCGAGGACGCCAATTGCAGATCGTTGCACTCACATTCTAACTTGTATATCTGCCTCTTGAGATCCTTGACCTGCCTCTGCTGCGCCTCCTTGGTCTCGATCAGGTCCGAATGCAGCTGGTTGCACTCTCGCACCAGTCTCGCGTTGTCACACTTGTACGGGTCAACCGTCAATTGCAGCTGGCTGCACGCCTGCCGGTGACACCATCGGTTAGATCGTACGTCGAAAATGCTCCCTCAAAGGATTACCAAACAATGTGATTCACGGCAATCGCATTAACCGCGGCGACGTCACGGGGCGCCGTTCTCCTTTTATTTCAGCTCTCGCGTGAAGTTACATTAGATCAGACAAGCGAGACTGTACTCAAATGTTTCTATGATAGCGTTTTCGATTTTCTGACTCGGAGTCGGGTCGAGTCAGCAAATCGAAAACGCTATCAGGCTGTGTGCCGACATTCACCGCCAGTACCGCAAAAATCTGCAGTTCGCGTCGCGTGTACACTTTCAGTGCTGGCGGCGAATACATCGGAGCACAGCCTCGGAGCGGCGACTGAACGTTCTCTCCAGCGAGCCCCCACGCGACTGACCTCGACGTTCTCCTGAGCGACGGCCTTGAAGTGCTTCAGGCTGTCGGTGGTCTGAACGAGATCGGCCAGCAGGGCCTCTATCAGAGGCAGCGCGTCCAACGACAGCGCCTGCTTGTACCCCAGGCTGTCCAGGTGCTTCCTGACCGTCCGGTACCTACCGGCGACATTGTACTCCGCGTCCCCGCTCATCCTCGCGTCGCGTACGGCGCGACTAGTTACGTGGATTCACGCAGGACGGCTCGAAATCACCCGCTGTATCTAGGACGGCGGACTAACTCACGTTCCCATTGTTGCAGAAATACGTGTACGACCGGGATACGTCACGACCGTCGCATTGTCCAGTATCGCGAAACGGACGAGAGCGTTCGCGTTGTACGACATAGCAATTCTATGTGATAAACAACACCGACCGGTCCGCGAGTCAACGGCCGTCACGATCTCGCGATCTCGCGGGCCGCGCGACCGCCGCTCTCCCTCCCGCCGAGTAATCCTATCGCGTGCCGCCGTTTAGCGTTCGCGATCGCGGTACGGCCTGAGCGCGTACACTCGTCTCGCCGAGGACGCCTGAAGGGACGTTAATTCTCGCAGCCGCGACTCATCCCGTCGAGAGGAATCGCCGCCCCCCCAGCGCCGGACTGTTTGAATACGGCTTCGAAATTGCTGCCAATCCCAACACACTCCGCTTTCCCGCCATTTTCAGGCTGCGCCAGCTCGCGGGGTTTGTTGAAAGAAATCGGCCGACAGGGCGCGCCACCTCACGGCCCGGGCTGATGGCAGTGATGGTAGATGGGCCGGGTTTTTGGCGCATGCGCAGCGAGAGCAGCCGTAAAGCCCGTATCAGACCACGGATTGGGATTGGGATTGGGATTAGATTGAAATTTGACCAATCAGAGTAAAGCCCGCTGCAGACGATGCTATTTTTCCTGCTGGATTGCTTGCAATCTAATAAATTACTATCGTTGCACCATTCAGCACTCAGGATTCCTAGTAATTTCGTAAATCGCAAGCTATCCAGCAGGAAAAATAGCATCGTCTGCAGTGGGCTTAAAAGTTAAGGCCTTTGCACGTAAAAAAGCATTAACCGTAACCGTAATTTTAGTCCATAACCTACGGACCCTACGTAATTTTAGTCCGTAACCTTAGGAATTTTACTTGGGTTGCTCCATCTGTCTGTACGTGTTGAAAACTACGATTACGGACTAAAATTACGGTTACGGTTAACGCTTTTTTACGTGCAAAGGCCTTTACTGAACTTGAGATTAGTAAACTTTACTGTGATTGGTTAAATTTCAATCTAATCCCAGTCCCAATCCGTAGTCTGATACGGGCTTTAGTCCCAGTCTACAATAGAGATTTAAGCCCTAAGCCTTAAGAAATTGACTAATCACAGTCGCGCATTCTTCTCATACTTGACCGTGATTGGCCAATTTCTTAAAGCTTAGGGCTTAAATCATCTATTGTAGACTGGGACTTAGTCCCAGTCTACAATAGAGATTTAAGCCCTAAGCCTTAA